CTGGGCAGTACCTATCTGTTCTGACCTCTGCAGCCCTCACTGAGTCAGGTTCAGAGCAGCAGTGAGGGGTAGGCATCTGCCTCTGGGAAGGAGGCCATAGCCAGACAAGTTTTTAAGAGCCTCAGCCTACTATGGCTGCCGATGGGACAGGTTGGACCCTGAACAAAACTACCCGGCCTGTGCCTTCCTTGCAAAGTCACAGGCTGAGCTGGGGCTAGAGGGTCCCGCTTGCCCCCAGCACCTATTCTGACTTTCAGTCCCATGCCCAGACTTTGCATACCCATACCACAAATGCACACAGAGGCCCCTGAGAACTAGAAGGAGCTATACTCTGCCATGAGGTATCCCCATTAGAGTTGGGACCCCTCGGAGACCTACGTTATGGCTTTTTGCTGACTCACATGCTCAATGTCATCAAATCCTCAGGATGGTCTTCTGGTACCCCCATTTTTACAGCAGAGCCACCTGAGGCAGTAAGAAGTTCAGAGGCAGGTAGAGGAACCCATGTGCCCTAGACTACGGCATCATCAGAGAAGGCTTCCCAGAGCAGGTGGCATTGGAGTTGGGTGTTGCAGGCTGAATAGGAGTCTGCCAGACAGAATAGAGGTGGGTACGGGGGTTGCTCCCAGGCTGAGTGCTCTGGCCAGTGCCAGGGCAGCAACCAGAACTGGAGGAATCCCTGTCCACTGCACCACAGCATTTTGTCGTGGGCGGTGCTGATGGCAGCCCCGGGGAAGGGAGGCAGGGCTGGAGCCTGGCGTTTACGGCTGTCCCTGCTCCAGAACCGATTAGCAGAGAATTGCAGCTGTAATCTGTGCCCGTGATGGCGGGCCATAAAGAGGGATGGGACTCGAGCGGTGCTCCCAAGGTGGCGCCCGCAGACGTGGCCCGGGGATGCGGGGAATGAAAAATGGTTTTAATTCCCTCCCAGCAGCAATAATTTGATTCTTCATAAATTTTTCCATCAAAGTGTTGTTGAGGCTGAGTTCCCACAGAGCAGGCATGTGACAGGGTGTGGGGTGTGGGGAGGAGCGGTCAGCAGAACAGCAGGACCATCCAGCACAAGCCAGCCAAGGGCACGGAAACCCTGTCGGGCTACATCCTTAGATGGGAGACAGCACCATCCTGGATCAGCCCACCCTGGGAGTTGTTTGTGCTCTGAGCAAGAGGAACTCTCGTCGGCACTTCTTTTCCTCATCCCTAAAATGGGGCCAGGTCTCTCTGGTCTCAAGGGTCATTGCAAGATCAGGTGACATGCATGTGTAATGTGCTGAGTACAGCTGCTAGCCATGCTTTCGCAAGCTGTGCCCATGTGGAAATGAAGGGACGAGAAGGTGGCACCAAGCCAAAGGGCAGGGACAGAACATGTCCAGCGGCTGCTGTGAGGGTACACTGGAGACCCCATGACTGTTCTGAGGAATCATAGCCAGGAAGCAGGGGGTGGTGAGATGGGTTGTTCTTCTAAGGGCACTAGGGAGCTGTGGAAGTGTGGATCAGGAAAGAGCAAGATCAATGAGCATACGAAGAGCCTTCTGTGTCCTGTGTTGGGGCACAGGTGAGGAGATTTGAGATCTGGGAGCCCAGGTTGGGGAGAAGGGCCCAGGCTGGAGGGCAGGGCAAAATTGGGATTATTTGGCTATGGGGATGAAGGAGGCTAGTGGTCAGGGAGTGAGGCTGACCCCGAACACTGCCCTCTAGTGGCTTCCATGCCTGAGAAGGAAGACCCAGAAGCAGAGCTGACTGGGTCCCCGTAGGACATGCAGAAGAGGAGGGTGTGTCCCCGCCCTCCCCACACTGCCTGCAGAGGGAGATGTCCTGGGTGAGACCCTCTCAGCCCAGCCTGTGCCTCCTCCGTTCCCCGCAGGCTCTTCGCGGCAAAATGCAGCGGCTGCATGGAGAAGATCGCACCTACCGAGTTTGTGATGCGAGCGCTCGAGTGCGTGTACCACCTGGGCTGCTTCTGCTGCTGTGTATGCGAGAGGCAGCTGCGCAAGGGTGATGAATTCGTGCTCAAGGAGGGCCAGCTACTGTGCAAGGGTGACTACGAGAAGGAGAAGGATCTTCTCAGCTCCGTGAGCCCTGACGAGTCTGACTCTGGTGAGCCTGAGCTGGGACAGCTGCAGGACATGGCTCAGTGGGATTCTGGAGGGGTCTTCTGAGCTCCACAGACCTGCACCCACACACATGTCCAGTCAGCACTGATAAATCACATCCATCCCTGCATGTCACCCTAGTACTTATCTGGGTGCCAGCCACAGGGACAACACACCTGTATGCCTATCTGACCGCACATGTACCCAGTACTGTAGAGACACCATCCCATGTACCCCTATGTGGGGAAATATGCTCACACACCCAAGCATGCAAAGTTCCCCCTAGGCACATACATACATACACTGCTATGCTTCATATTTCGGCAGCTAACCAGCACACTCATAGGCTGTGCACACATGTTTGTATGCACTTGCATGCACTGTGCATGTGACAACTTGCTCTCTGGCAAGGCCTAAAGTTCAGCTGGCACCCTGTCATTCCTGAAACTTGAGCAGGGAACATGCTAACATGGCTGTCCTGTCCTTTGAGATATCCGAGATCCACAGGGTTAGCTTCTGCCCACGTGGGAAGTGTCTGCTGTTTCCAGGGTCCCAACGTCTAGGCTGTAGTATGGCAGAGTCCTCATGTATCTTCTGCTGGCCATCCCTGGATTAGACACTGTGACAGCATTGCTGTGGCCACCTGCACTCCCATGGAAGGCCCACCTTGCAGATATGGTAGAAGGGATCACCTTCATGAGGCTCACCTCCAGAGAAGGCGGGACTAGGGAGAGGATAGGTTCCAGTGAGGGGTGTCAGAAACTAATGGTTGTTAGGAAGCTTGGCCATGTACCTGACTCTCTAAGGCCCCAAACCCAGGGGTCATAGAAGTGGTTTGTATGTTGCTGGGTATGCATACATGTTTCTTCATGCCACATGTGCCTTGGCATGTATGTGTCCCTGCCTGTGGGTGCAGGCCTCTGTAAGCCCATGATTGTACATGTCTCTAAGGAGCACATGTGTGGGCCTCTATACCAAGACGCAGGTATGTGTACCCACCAGTGAGCATACTCGGCGAGTGTGCACATGCTTGCATAGCGTGGTACTAAGTTCTCCTGGGAGGATGCCTGGCCCCTGTGTCTTTGTTAGTTTTTAGTCCCTGGAGGTCTCCAGAAAGAAGGCCCCTGACATTCTTCTCTTTTCCCCTGGTCCCCAGCTAGCATGACACATGACCCTCAGACACCAGCAGAAGGTGAGTTTCAAACATGTTGAGCTGGGGAAGCCCAGGGCCTGCCTGGGCCATAGTTGCCACATGCCTGTGCAGGAGGCTGTTGGCCTTCAGACACGCAAGAGCAGATCTGTCCTTGTGTGTAAGCACCACATCCTGCACACACTCTAGTGTGTGTGAGGCTCGTGCACAGCCATGGTGTGCACCTGGGTCCATCCCCACCCCCACACCCCTGGGCCCGATTCACTGTCTTCCAGAGCCCATGAGCACCCGAAACTGTGGACCAGCAGTTAGACTAGGCTGGTCCCAGGACGAGGGAGTGAGAATTGTCTGTTGTCCCTGCACAAGAGATGTGCAGGGAGCAGGAGATGAAGACCCAGGCAAAGAAGGCTCTATGGGCCTAGGGAAGGGACTACTTTATCTGAGGTCATTAGGGAGCCACAGCAGGTGGGTGAAGGAATTCTCACCTAAAGATGCAAAGCTTGAACTAACAGGTTGGATTGTGTCTTCCACAGTGAAGAGTGAGGATGAAGATGGAGACATGAAGCCGGCAAAGGGGCAGGGCAGCCAGAGTAAGGGCAGTGGAGATGATGGGAAGGACCCGAGAAGGCCCAAACGGCCCCGGACCATCCTCACCACGCAGCAGCGAAGAGCCTTCAAGGCTTCTTTTGAGGTCTCCTCCAAGCCCTGTCGGAAGGTGAGGAGTTCTGGGGGGGATGGTCTGATGCCAACACCCCTTTTTTACTTACTGTGGATCCAGCTCCTCCTTCCCAACCCACTGCTATCATTGGGGACAGGAGTGTCCCTCCATCCCTCAACCCAACTGCCACCTCCCAGCTGCTATCTACACAGACCTGACTTGCCTCCTCTCTCTGGGTCAGGTCCGAGAAACACTGGCAGCAGAGACAGGCCTCAGCGTGCGTGTGGTCCAGGTCTGGTTTCAGAACCAAAGAGCAAAGGTGAGAGGTCACTGCTACTCCAGTGCTCCAGTACACACCTGGGAGATGGGGCTGGGCAGAAGGGGTGAGGGACATAAAGGGGACCTGATGTGCAGGCTGAGACTGAGTGGGTGCCTGGCTTGTTACCCTGCAGATGAAGAAGCTGGCTCGGCGGCACCAGCAACAACAGGAGCAACAGAACTCCCAGCGGCTGGGCCAAGGTGAGCCCCAGGGACATGGGGAGCAGAGGCTACAACGGAAGGGTTGTCAGGGTCTCTACTGCAAAAGTCATTGCTGTCCCCTTGTGCTCTTTCCCCACATCCCACCCACCCTAGTTCACTCAGCTCTCATGGAATGCCTCCAGGCCAGGATTACCAGGCATACCTCATGAGGAAACCGAGGCCTGGGGGAATCCAGGGACCTTCTGGGATCACACCACTAGCAAGGAGCAAAGTTGCCTGTGTATAGGGCTCCAACCTGCACTTTTAGAGGTGACATACACTGGCTTCTCACTCATTCTGTGAAAGTGCCCCAGAAAAGCTAGGTGGAATATGGAGACGCCCCTGGTGGGTTGCCACTAGCAGTGAGGAACCAGTCCATGGAGCAGAAGGCATGTCCTCTGGAGCTGGTCTTCACTCGGAAATCTGTTTCAGTGCCAACAGCTTGGGCCAGGGATGGTATCCATGGCTACCCTGGGACATGGAGACTTTGAAGTTATGGAGGGAGGAGGGTGCAGAGCTCCAGAGACTTGCCTGTGTGGTGCAGGGGAAAGAACTACCTGCTCGGGGAGTGGGCAGCTCTGCCACTCATGGCTGGAGCCAGGCCAGCATCCCAGCCTGGACTTG